TAATGTATCAAATCTGTTCTTCAGATGATCTCTAAATTCAGGTGGGATATATTCAAGGTCATATTTTGGCTCTCGTGGACTTGTTTTCATTATCTTCAGCTTCAGTCTGAATTTGCATTTGAGTAATTGATGGTCTGTTCCACAGTCTCCCCCTGGCCTTGTTTCATTGATGATATGGAACCTTTCCTTCGTCTCTTTCCGCAGATGTAGTCAATTTGATTTTACGTATTCCATCTGATGAGGTCCATGTGTACAATCATCTCTTATGTTGTCTAAAGCAGGTATATCAAATGAGCAAATCATTGATTTTGCAGAATTCTATCATGCATTCTGCAGCATCATTTCTATCACCAAGGCAATAGCTTCTAACTACTGATCCTTCCTCTTTGCTCCAACCTTTGCATTCCAATCACCAGTACATCTTGATTGCATGTTTGATCAATTTCAGATTGAAGAAGTTGGTAGAATTCTTTTATTTCATCCTCACTGGCTAGTGGTTGGTGCGTTAATTTGAATAACAGTGGTATTAACTGGGTTTCCCTGTAGGCTCATGGATATTATCCTATCACAAACAGTGCTGTACCTCGTGACTGGTCTGGATATGTTCTTTTTGACAATGAATGCAACACCATTCCTCTTCAATTTGTCATTCCTGTCGTAGTAAACCATCCAGTTGTGAGATTCAAAATGGCCAATACCAGTCCATTTCAGCTCACTTATACCTAAGACATCAATGTTTATGCATTCCACTTCATTTTTGACAAATTCCAATTTTCCCAGATTCATACTTCCTACATTCTATGTTCCGATTTTCAGTGGATGTTTACAGCTGTTTCTCTTTATTTTGAGTTGTGTCGCCATCAGCAAATTAAGGTACCACAGGCTTTTCTCGCATGGGCTTTACTCCATTCGCATCATCAAGATCAACTTATAAGCCACCACAGTACGACTAACTGTCAGATGAGTGGTGGACATTAGGTGCCTTCTAATCGAGGTAGACTTGCTAAAAGAAACAAAACCCGATTATGATCAAGGCTCTGAATTCAGCTGCCAATTTGCAAGAAAGAGAGAAGAGAGACAGAAGAATAAGTTCCACTGTATCCTAAGTATGTTGCTGACAATATACAGAACATGAAATCACCATCTCAAATAAGCCAAGTAATTCAATAGAAAATCAAAGAGGAAGAATCTATAAATTAAGAAAACAACTTACCATCAAATGAATTGTGACTCATGGAGATCCCCATCCTTGTCAGAATAGAACTATGCTCTATGTATGGATTTTAATGACGGAGTGTTTGGAAGTAACTCTCAGGCCTTTCTTTAGGCCTTTCTGAGTGACTCTAACATTTAGTCAGGGACTATGAAAACTAAGAGACCAAAATTGACAAATTTTTTTAAAGTGGGCAAGACAACTCCATTGTATAGAGATGCATTCGTGGGCTAAAAAAAGACAAACACAAAGACACAATTCTAATAGAAGGTGGGAGAGAAGTTCCTTTCAGAGGGCAAAAGGTGGCTGTGATGAAGTCAGGGAATTTTGAGAGTACCTGGAAAAGTCCTATTTCTTGATTGATAAAAATTACAAGGGTGTCCATTTTATAAGAATTCATAATACTATATGGTAGCGTAGTGGTTACGAATCGGGCTGCGAACCTTAAGGTCAGTGGTTCGAAACTACCAGCTGCTCCGCGGGAGAAAGATGAGGCTTTCTACTCCCGTAAAAATTTACACCCTCGGAAACCCTGTACAGGGTCGCTATGGGTCGGAACCGACTCAATGGCACATAACAACAACAACATATTTCTGTTATGAGTAGTTTTCCCTATGTTTTATTTTATAATAAAAATTTATTTAAAACTAACACTCATTTTATACCAAATAGGTAGTCTATGTCTTTGATTGCCGTTTTCTGTTAAAAACAATGTGAGTTTATGAAAGTATATTCAATACATTACATTACTTGGTACATATTTTTAAGTCTCTCTTAATATGTGGTTCCTCCTAACTCTTTTTTCTTTTTCTAAATGTCTCCTACATCCTAGATTTTCTTGACTATATCCTTAACATTCCCTCTGTCTTCTATATTTCCTGTGAAGTGCTTTTAGATCTATGGGCTTTAATCAGATTCAGGTTCATTTTTTTGTTAACAAGATTATATCTGCTAGTAAATATATTATTTTTATTGTTAAGTGGAAATTTTATTTTTTAAAATATGTGATTTGAAAATTAACATCAGTTTTACTCATTCATAACCTAGAAAATTTCAGGCAAAAAAGTTATAGCTATGCAGTACACTGCAATCACATATACAACCTCTGCAAAATACTGTTATCTATAAGCACTGAACTCACCTGCTGGAAGGATTGAATTGTAGCTGAGTAAGAACGAAGAGACAGACAAAATTTCAACAAATTCTGTTGTAGAGGTGACAGAAACTGAAATGCAGTCTCCACTACTGCATGATAATAGGAATAATCAGTACCTGTCAAAGAAGAACATTAATTAAAATAATTACACGATTTGTTGTTGCTGTTAAGTGCCATCAAGTCAGTTCTGACCCATAACAACCCTGTATAGGGATTTTGAGGAATACCTGGTAAATTTGAACTGTAAACCTTACAGCTCAAATTGACCTTGTAGCCCAGAGCATTAACCTGCAGAGCCACACCAGAGATATCCTAGTAAGAAAGTTCAAAAATTGCAAAGTTACGTGTCACAAAATGCAAAATTGTCAGTTTATTATCATTAAGTTTACAGTTAATCTATTGTAAAAAGCTTAAAATTTCTTTGACAGCAAATGCAGTTGAACTCTTCCTCTCTTCTACCATTTGTTCAATTACTCCCCACACTCAAACTACTCTCTTCCTACCTACATGGATGACTGACTTCAGTGGCTCTGTAGGATAGGCACTTGACTGTGAACTACAAAGTTGGCAAGTTTGAGCCCACCAGCTGCTCCATGGGAGAAAGATGAGGCTTTCTTCTCCTGCAAAAATGTACAGCCTCAGAAACCCTCTCCAAGAGTCACTATGAGGCAGAAACGACTTGAGGGTATTTAACAACAACATGATTCAGAGAGAATTCAGCTATGCAACCAATGACTTTGGAAAGTACATCTCCAAAGCACCTACAGGAAAAGGCTGTGACTTTTTTCTCAGTATCACCAGTGCCTAAAATGTTATCTATGCAAACAGCTCAACAAAAACTTAGTGGGAGATATTTAAAGAAAGGACACTGATGAAACTTTAAGGAGCTATGGTGGTATTGTAGAATAAGTACTAGACTGTCAGCAGTTCAAACCCACTATCTGATCAACAGGTAAAAGATGAGGCTTTCTAATCCTATAAAAGATTATAGCCTTGGAAACCCTATACAGGGAAGCTATGATTCAATGACAGTAGGTTTGGTCTTTAGTTTGATAAAATTGTAAAGCTTGGGAAGAGGTACTTAAATGAGATAATTCGTACGAGAAAAAAATTAATGTGATAATATGAAAAGATCTCCAGGACCTACTGTTACATGAAAAGCACAAGATACAAAACATTGTATATAGTAAACAATGCTTTTTTCCCATAACAGTAAGATATATATGTTTATGTTATTTAAAAAAGAAACTGAAGAGTAAAAAAGAAACTAAGTTAAATGGCTATAAAAAGCAGAGAGAAAGGAGAAGGAATGGAACAGAAATTTTTCCATCTATTGTCTTTGACTAATGAATCATGCTTATTAATTTTTTTAAAAAGAAAAATACAAAGGTTCTATAATACAAAGCACCATCTAAATAGAAACAAGAGACCAGAAATAAGTATCTCAAAATGTTGTCAAAGTGTTAATGGTACTTCTCTTTGAGAGGTAGGATTTTGAATAGTATCTCAAATAAATGAAATATTTAACATACTTCCATAGTCAACATCCAAAAACTTAAATACTCCTATAACATTAGTCATGATTACATATCATTTAAAGTTTTAAATTTTTCATTTTAAATGTCAGTTCATATTTTATCATAAAACACTCTGATATATGTATTGTCAATTAAAGCAACATGACTCTTTGATAAGCTGAACATTTCTATAACACACAAGGGACCATTGTGAATCAAAGCTGACTTGATTGGAAATTGTGAAATTTTAAAATTAAATAATTAGAGATGTTTAAACCTTCATGTACTTACGTTGACTTTTAAAATATGTGCTACCATGATAATAATGTTAAAATTAAAAATCAAGTCAGTTAAATATTAATAGAAGTCAGAAATTTTTCAAATGTTTCTTCATTCACAGGACTTGTCAATGTAATATTCAAGGTTTTCACAATTCCTGCATTAGCATCTTTGATTACTAAACTTTATACCCTATACAGCATATATCAAATTAGAAAATGTTTGTGAAACATATCAAAAAACTGTAAAAGAGTGGCACATGGTATATCATTCATTTGGCAGGTGGAATGAAAGGCCTAATGGAAAATATTCTGGAGGTGTTCATTGAATGATGTCTAACATAGATCAGTTGTGAATTTAGCAATTTGCCCTCAAACAATTCCAATTCCTGGTAACCCAATGTATGTCAGAATAATACTACTCTACAAGATTTTTAATGGCTAATTTTTTGAGAAGTAGATTTCCAGGTCTGTCTTTCATAGCTCCTTTAAGTGGACTCGAAACTCCTTTAGGTGGACATGAACCTCTAACCTTTTGATTAGCAGCCAAGTAAATTAGTAAATTAACAGAGAAAATAAACAATTTATACCACCCAGGGATTTCACTGTATAATTAGTTCATAAAAAAACAAAGAGTGAATCAAATCAAATCTTTATGAAGTTAATGCTCAATGATTTAAGATGAATTTTATTTTCATAAAATATCCATATAGCACAATAATAGAGCCAAAGAACAAGGTGGAAAAACAAACAAAGGTAGGGCTTACAGTTAGTTATAAACTACTTCACAAATAATTATTTGCACTATGCTAGCTATGCTGGCTATCATCACAATTCAAGTTATTTAAGATGACAATGTTTTCCATTAACCATCATGATACACATTCTTAAAGAAAGAACATTTTCCCCCTAATATTTTTCCAGATACCAATATCAAAGAAGCATTTGCTTCAATTTTACCGTGATCCTCTGTTGATCCAATATTTTGACTGGCTTCTACAAAATTCCAAAATTTCTCTTGACTGTTTTCTGCTAAGAACTCACTGGGAGAAAAGAGAGACATGTCAGAAATAAAACAACTTAAAAAAATCTTCAATTCTATTCTATATTACTTGAGAGTAAATACAGGTTTTAGACTTCCAAATGTCCAGAGTCTAGCTTATATACGAAAAATATTCTTATGTATACATGCAATATATGAGTATATGTATATATGATGGTACTTTGAAAAAAAAAGTTCATGGAAACCTGGAATTAAAAGATAATGGAATTTTCCCACAGACTTCTGAAGCCTTCTTTTGTATGTATATATATATTTGTGTGTGTGTAAACTTTTCTTTAAATGACAAGCAAGTAAGTCTTTGAAGATCTATTTCATAAAATTCCTGAAATAATAAAAACATTATCAAACAGGAAGTGGCAATTTAAAGGAACTTATGAAACACCATGAGTGAAAATGCTGTCTGATAGTAGAAGCAGAATCGCTGTTGTTGCTGTTAAGTGCCATCGAGCTGGTTATGACTCATAGCAACCCAAAATAGGGTTTCCGAGGAGTGGCTGTTGAGTTTGAAATACTGACCTTGTGGTACAAACTGACTTTGCAGTCCAGTGCTTTATCCATAGCGTAGGAATGGATAATTCTTGTAGCAGTTCTCTACACTTATTTTCTGAAAGATTTTATTTAGAGATGACAAAAACATCTAGTTTTCCCACATGAAAACATGTTGTTGTTAGATGCCATCGAGTCAGCACCGACTCATAGCAACCTTATGCACAGCAGAACAAAACAATATCCGATCCTGGGCCAACCTCACTACTGTTGCCACACTTGAGTCCATCAATACTGCCACCTGGCCAATCCATCTCGTTGGGGATCTTCCTCTTATCCTCTGACCCTCCACCTTACCAAACATGGTATCCTTCTCCAGTGACTCATCCCTCCTAACAATATGTCCAAAGTATGAGAGACAAAGTTTGGCCATCTTGGCCTCTAAGGAGCACTCTGGCTGCACTTCTTCCAAAACAGATCTATTGTTTCTTTTGACAGCTCATGGCACTTTTAGTATGCTCCTCTAACACCACAACTCAAAGGCATCAATTCTTCTACAATCTTCCTTATTCACTGTCCAGCTTTCGCATGCATCTGAGGTTATTGAAAATACCATGGATTGGGTCAGACGCACCTTAGTCCTCTTCAACACTTTAAAAAGGTCTTGTGCAGCAGATCTGCCTAATGCAATACGTCGTCTGATCTCTTGACTGCTGCTTCCGCGAGTGTTAATAGTGGATCCAAGAAGAATGAAGTCCTTGACAATTACAACCTTTTCTCCGTTGATAAGAATGTTGTTTATTGGTCCAGTGGTGAGGATTTTTGTTTTCTTGACATTGAGATGTAATCCATACCGAAGGCTGTGCTCTTTGATCTTTTGGAAAACATGAGCCCCTTGGAAATTGTCTAGGAGACTAAAGGCAGCATGCTGTAACCTGTTTTATGTCTGTATATACCAGGAGGCTTCAAAAAGTTCATGAAAGAATTCCATTAAGAGACAATGGAGAAGCTTTTTCCCGGCAAGCAACTCCTCTTTAGTCTTCTTCTTGGACTCTGCATGCAGCATGGCCCCCAAACGCTTGTCTTTGCTCCTGCCTCAAATGAAGAAACCTAAGCTGCAGGAGACTTCAGCTTCTCTGAACTTGCCAAAGGGAGAAAAAGAACAGCAGTGAGCAACTGAACATATTGATGAAGTACAAAATGAAATAGACAGACTTAATGAACAAGCCAGTGAGGAGATTTTGAAAGTAGAATAAAAATATAACAAACACCGCCAGCCAACCATTCTTTCAGAAGAGGTCAGAATTGATTGCCAAAATTCCAAACTTTTGGGTAACAACATTTGTCAACCATCCACAAGTGGCTGCGTTGCTTGGGAGGAGGATGAAGAGGCACTGCATTATTTGACCAGAGTTGAAGTGACAGAATTTGAAGATATTAAATCAGGTCCCAGAATAGATTTTTATTTTTATGAAAATCCTTACTTCGAAAATAAAGTTCTCTCCAAAGAATTTCATCTGAATGAGAGTGGTGATCCATCCTCAAAATCAAGTGAAATCAAATGGAAATCTGGAAAGTATTTGACAAAACGCTCAAGTCAAACACAGAATAAAGCCAGCAGGAAGAGGCAGCATGGAGAACTTTTTTACTTGGTTTACTGATCATTCTGTGCAGGTGCAGATGAGTTAGGAGAGGTTATCAAAGATGATATTTGGCCAAATCTGTTACAGTACTATTGGGTTCCTGATACAGATGATGAAGAAGGGGAAGGAGAATATGATGATGATGATGATGAAGAAGAAGAAGAAGGTATGGAAGATATTGACAAAGAAGGGGATGAAGATGAATGGGAAGAAGATGAAGATGATGATGAGGGAGAGGAAGGAGAGGAGGATGAAGGAGAAGATGACTAATAAGAAGAACACTGATGGATTCCAACTTTTTTTTTTCTTCAGTCCCTGGGAGCAAGTTGCAGTCTTTTTTTTTTAATTCCTTTTCTTTTCCCCCTCTTGTGCTGTCGCCCTGTTCTTGAGGTCTCTTTTCTCTCCTTTACACCATAGTTCTCAACTGATTTGGGGAGTGGGGGAAATATCTTGAGCAGATACAGTGGGAAAAGAATCTCTACCACTTTCTGTTCCCAAATCAATTTTATCCCTTCCTGTCTCAATAAAAATTATGGAATCAACACACCACCGTGCTCTGTGGGGAAAAAAACAAACAAACCTTCTGCTCCCTTCGCTCTGCTGGAAGCTGGAGGGGTGCTAGGCCCCTGTGTAGTAGTGCATAGAATTCTAGCTTTTTTCCTCCTTTCTCTGTATATTGGGCTCAGATATTACACTGTGTCTCTATGTGAATATAGATAGTTAGCATTTACCAATATGTATCTGTCTACTTTCTCTTGTTAAAGAAAAAAAAATCTTTTTAAAAAATGGGGTTATAGATGGTCAGCAAAGGGTGGGTTGGAGATGTTTGGGTGGGTTAAAGTGGGCATTTTGACAACATGGCTTCTCCTTTGGCATGTTTAACTGTGATGTTAAACAAACATCCTTGCAGTTTAAGATGACACTTTTAAAATAAAATTCTCTCCTAATGATAACTTGAGCCCTGCCACTTGATGGGAGAATCAACAGAACCTGTAGGATCTTATTTGGAATTGACATTCTCTATTGTAATTTTGTTCCTGTTTATATTTTAAAAGTCTTTTTGTTTTCACTGGAAAGGAAAGATGATGCTCAGTTTTAAACGTTAAAAGTGTACAAGTTGCTTTGTTACAATAAAACTAAATGTGTACACAAAGGATTTGATGCTTTTCTCTCAGAACAGATAAACTTAGATATCCAAGTTTGACTTGTTTATAACGTATCATTGTCAAACTTTATCACCATAACTCTATATTTTTTAGAATGAACTTTTGCAGGATGACCTCAGGGCTATGTGGATTGAGTAAGGAAAGTTGAATCAAATATTAAAAACTTTGTAGCTGGAAAACATTGGGTACAATTTGCCATTTTTTGTAAAGAATTAACATTGGGGAATACTAGGTTATGTAAAACTCAGTTGTTAGTATGTGTATCATTACCTTTTATCTCGAATTGGCATTTAAAATATGGGCCCTTATGTATGTGGATGTAATCATGATTTCAGTGCTCAGTGCCTGCCACCACTATCAGACCTGGTGCTCTAATGTCAAGTCAGTGCAGGGCAGTTGCTGGCATGTCTTCGCTGGCACTTAATGTGTCTAGCTCGTCATACGTTTGTGTTGGTGGTGAGAAACTCAGGAGTATTTCTTTGTCTCAAATACCAGCTCTAGCATAACTAGCATAAAGCTATCAAATGAGACTCATGTGAATCTGGGTGAGATGATGGAGCCTGCTAAATAACATTATGCATGTAATATCATTTTGAGAAGCTATCTAACTTAATGCATAATCTTTTTTAATGCTGTAAAATACAGTAGCTAAATCAATGCCACTTCATTTTTTCAGAGATGAATCAATGGCCAACCTGGGCAAATTCAAAGCTTTTGATGTATAAAACTTTTTAAATGGAACAATTTCATTAAGAGACAACAACATATAACAAAAATTGTTTAGATGGGTAAAATGTAATTTCTTTGCACACGTTCCTTTATTTAGTTACTACATCACTGTACTGGTCAGGAATCTTGCTCCAATAAAGGAATATACAGTTTTTTTGGGGTTTTTTGGACTGGAGTCATTCTCATTGTAGAGAAATTTCATCTGGTTTTGGGTTTAGATGATGGTAAGCTATTTGGATTTGTGGGAGTGCAGGATAGTGGGGAAACTTAAAATTTATAATTTTATAATTGTTGCTAAATATCATGGAGTCAGGGGTTGGTGAGTTTGAACCACTGACCTTGTGGTTCAAACCAATTTGTTATTGCAACACCACACTATGACTCTATGAAAAGACAGAGCTGGTCAATAAAAAAAATAAATAAATAAAAAAAGACAATAGAATTTTTCCATAATTTTTTTCAGTATCCTTATATAAGATTTGAAGATCACTAAATATTAATTTGAGGTTTTTGCTGTTGTTGTTAAGTGTCAAGTCAATTCTAACCCAATGCAACCATGTACAGGGTTTCTGAGGAGCAGCTGGTGGGTTTGAACCACCGACCTTGCAGTCCAGCACCATACCAGGACTCCTCATCTAATAAAATCAGATCTTAGAATTTAATGACATCTTCGTTTTTTTCCTTTATTTTACACCACAGAATTAAAACCATGACCACACTATATGTCCTGTCATTCAAGAGTCTAAAATCCCTAACTGAATATGCATGTACTAATGGAATGACTGTATTTCTGGTGTGGTGGTGCGGGTTAATGCGCTGGGCTCCAAGGTTGGTTTGAACCACAAGGTTGGTGGTTCATGCTCACCAGCTGTTCCTCAGAAACTCTATACAGGATTGCTATGAGTTGAACCAACTTGACAGCACATAACAATTGAATGACTAATGTAAATAGCTAT